ACACACACACACACACACACACACACACACACACACACACACACACAAAAAATCAGTAACACAGCTAACAAGGCACTAAAGTGGCCTTTGGGGCCTAATGCAGTTTAAATGTTGCACCTTATGTTAGTTTATGCGAGTGAACATGTCTCCGTAGAGAATACCTGCTCTGAGATGGGGTTTGCTCCGAGCACACAAAATAGCATTAAACTTGGACTCGTCTGTTCCAAGCTTGTTTTCTCCAGCAGCATACAGGGACTATAAGGAGAACCACAGTGTGCACGGGTTGGCATGACTTTGCAATCAATAGGTCGAGAAATTAACAATATAGGAAACAACCAAGTTGCAGATCAATCCTCAAAACACGACTCATTAATGAGAGCGAGGCAGACCGTACCTGAGCATCCTGTTTAGCCAGAGAGATGTCGACGGTCTCTCGTTCGTCACGATTACCCTGCAAAGTACAGGACAGCATATTCCTAATTAAATCTGAAGCTAGTTGCTAAGAGACAAGTATTAATTAATTTGTTTCACGTATTTGTACCTGTGCCAGAGAGATCAGGAGCCTGCGGAAGTGGCCTGAAGTATCCCCGCTAATGGCATCCTCCAGCTTCTTCTTGTATTCTGAAAAAGGCAAAAAAAACGAAAACAGACCATAAATACATGGCTTCAATACAAAGACATAGGTTCAAGCAACAGGGACTTTTGAAGGCTGATAAGTAATATTGTTGGATTGAAGATGAAATATACATGCATATTTATTAAACATGCAACAGACATTGTGCAACTGTATTCACATGATAAGGTACTAAAATGTTTATATACACTAGCAGCTTCTCAGGCGTATAAGGTAGGGAGAGTGACCACAATGCAATTTACTGGCAAGAGAAACTAGGACACTATACATAAGCAGAACAAATAGGGGGTTCAATAAATAAAATAAAAATGGTATAATGTCTTTCTATAGTTGCAGTTATGAAACTTTATCTGCATATACAAATGTTAGGGTGGTACCCAGATCTAGACAGACTGAGCTTATCCATGAATGTAATAAAACACTTTCAACAGACTTTTAGGAAGCTGTGTGATAAAGGAGATCACAACAGTAGTGGAGAGCAGTCCATTAATCGCCCTGAGGCGTCTCACCTTGTTTGTAAATGCGGTTTATCTCCCTGATTTCAGTGTTGGAGCGAGAAGACAAGATCTCTATAAGACAGGCTTCATCGGTTCCGGCTCCCTGTTAGGAAGTTAGAACAATGAAAACCTCATCCTCTCTGGCCCAATAGCGGCACAAAATTCTTCCCGTTTATTTCTGTTCACGATCGCTTGGTTTTGTTCCTGAGCATTTACCTTGATGGCACTGTGGAGCTCAGAGGCATCAAACTCAGCTGGCGTCTTCAACGTGGCCATGACCAGCTGTCTAAAGTCTCCAGACAGTTCGGAGTGTAGGTCCTTAACCAGATCCTGAGAATGGAAACATGCTCGGCATAACTCAAAACCTTCACCGAGTGCTGTTGTGAAAAACCTACTACAAGAAGCTATGAGGCAGAGCTTTAATGAGCTCTGCGGACATCCAATCCCCTCTCCGTTTTACTGGCACCACGAGCACCTGTTTGTCTGATTGTCACCATTACACACTGCTAGTATAATGCACACTGTGCCACGTGGGGATTTTTGTAAACATGATTGCTTTTTTAAAATAAGTAAATACTCTCCTAATGGAAAATGGCACCATGTATCCCATCAACAACATACAAACTCAGCTAGAGGACGGAGCGTTACCTTCCCATAGGACGTCTTGTAGGCTCGGAGCAAAGGCGTACGCTGCCTATTGGAGCGACTACCCAGGAGGTCGATGATGGCTTGCTCATCCGTTCCTGCACAGAAAAGCCCACAATGTCACATCATAAGGAGATGATAGGTACAGAAACATCTCTAAATGTCTAATTCAAGTGACATTTACACTTGAAATGACAAATGTCTTTCAAAATACAAAAGTTATGCTCTAAAGACAATTAAGGCTGTCCTCGACGAAAGAGGGTCTTTGATAATTAAGAACGGTCAGCCCAAAAAATATACAAAATCTCTGCCCATAGCACTCACCAAAGCCCTTCATGGCCTTCCTCAGGACCTCCACGTCTCTCAGCTGGTCAGCTCCAGGAAAGTCCTTGATTGTTCCTCTGAATCCTCTCTGAGATAACAATACAGCAAGTGTTATTTCAACTCAAATGTAAATCTGTTACAGACGTTGTACATTTATAAAAGCGTATATGTGTATCGCATTACAAAAGAAAGCCCTAAATATATATATTTTTTAACCTATGGGTTGAAAAAAGTATTTTTCATCTTTCTCACGTTGACAGGTGGAGCTATTGGCATGGTTCCTCCTCCTCCTCCTCCTCCGTAGGCTGGCATGGATGGATTTGGTGAAGGAACCTTTGGGTAACCTGGCATCGGTGCTGGTGCTCCTCCATACCCAGGCATCGGCTGTGCAGGCTGACCGGGGTAGCCCATCCCTGGGCCTTGGGGGTGCTGCATCCCTCCTGGCTGTGGGTACAGGCCATTTGACTGTTGGTTAGGGAAGGGGGCACCGTACCCACTAGGCTGAGTGGCAGGTGGGTACCCCCCAGAGGCTGGGGCGAACATGGAAGGGTTTTGATTAAAACCACCCATGCCTGCAGAGATCTGGTTGGCCTGCGATTTGGAAAGATTGGTATCCGATAATATGTAACATTGAAGATTATTTCATGCAAAGCACAGGTAGCTGGTCACACCTTTTTTGGATTCGATGTAGATTTATGGATCATATTTATGGAATTAATGAATGTTTAATAAATGTCCAAATCTCTCATCCCGGATCTCACTTCACATGAGAAACCAAAGTTAATTTTCCTGATGTTTTGAACGTCTTCCAGTTACACGACGCACAATCATCCAAATAAAGTGTGGCCATGATCTATATTAAGATGGAAATTCATATAACAGACGATAGACAACAATATAGACAAGACAATGACTCAGAAAAGTAAGAGGGATTAAGAAGAAGTTACATTAGAGCGATAGCTTTGAGAAGCATGAATAAGAATATAGTGTGCGACGTGTATTTCATGCAAGAGACCTAGAAAAAGAAGCAGATGCAGACGTTTGGAGAAGTCTTACCGTGAAGTGAAAAGATGTGATATTCCATGAATGGCTGAGTAATTAATTCTAACTGGAATATTCAACGCAATCATCTGATGAGGTTGCATTTTATTTTTTTTTTTAATATATATTTAGAATTTTTCTGGGTGCAGGTTATTTTTTTGAAGGCTAAACTCACCATGCCAGCATTGTACCCAGGGTTGGATAAGTTGCCCAGACCGATGGTGGGGTATCCACCAGCAGGGCCACCTCCCCAGCTGCCTGCAGCACACAACAAAGACAAGGCTGTTCAGCAAAAGCACAGAATACATTTTGCTACTACATGTAAGAATATCAGACTGACGGGAATGACCCTTCTTACTGGAACTCCCTTTTCCTCACCCTCCAACTAGTTAATGTGTAGGTGAAAGACAGCTGGACAGACAATGGGGGTACTATGTGAAAAGATGGACAGCGGGACTTCCTTCTCTTAGCAACGGAAGATGTTTGTTTGTTTGTTTTTTGAGGGGGAAAAAAAAAAATCTGCTCTGTTAACTACAAGTCTCGTGATCCCTGTTGCCCACAAACACGACATAACTGACTCACTAGAATACTTTAACCTTTTCACTTCAACTTACAGTTTCTGCAAGTACTTTAACATTTGAGTGTGTTGCTCTTTTTGTGCTCGATGAGAAAGTGGGACAGTGGAACAGTGCGTGATGGCTTACCTTGTGGTGGTGCCGGTGGGTAGCCTCCAGCCTGAGGCGGAAAACCTCCAGCCTGAGGAGGAAAACCTCCGGCCTGTGGAGGGTAGCCTCCGGCCTGTGGAGGGTAGCCTCCGGCCTGGGGAGGGTAGCCACCGGCTTGGGGAGGGTAGCCACCAGCTTGGGGAGGGTAGCCACCAGCCTGAGGAGGGTAGCCACCAGCCTGAGGAGGGTAGCTACCAGGTTGAGGAGGGTAGCCTCCACCTTGGGGAGGATAGCCTCCAGCCTGAGGTGGGTAGGCACCAGGCTGCTGAGGGTAGGCCCCGGGCTGTTGTGGGTATCCACCTGCCTGAGGGTATCCAGGGTAGCTCATGGCTTTAAGCATAAAAACAGAACGGTCAATCAAAGGGCTGCCAAAACATGACTAAATTAATCAAAATGTAAGAATTATCTTGTGCGGCCAACTAAACAAAAAGGGTATTTTATCTGTCGGTGAAGCAAAAATATAAGCAAGAACAATACGCTGTAAATGGCAGCCTTACATATTGAAGGCATGACACAGCAAAAATGTGGCTCTGACTTACAATAAGTATATAGCTTGTTGTTATACTGGACATAAAGTCCCATGACTCAGTGTAGTGCTTTTTAAATGCCACCACATACACTCACCAGTCTTTGCTTATGAATGTAGCAATGTAAGTGTCACGATCGCTGCAATGTACTGAATTGCAGACTCCTTATTACAGGAAAGTTGGATCACAGCCATTTCTACGCGAGTGGTGAGGAAACTTTTCTTTTTTGGTTAAGCTCGGTATGAAAAGCCGGTGTTCCAGTGTAACTACTTGTTCCATGGGAAGTCTGACTTCAGCGGACCTAATGGAACAGTCTTCTCTGCTTTGCATTTTATGGACACAGAGAAAAAAAAAAAGATGTCGATGTGTTTGAATGAGCACGCAATGAGATAGAAGCATGCTTAGTACAGATGTCCTACACAGCAGCACGGATGCTTGTCTCACATACACAGACCTACATCCATGCTGAGGAGCCATTGTGAAATACTTCAGTGGAAGTTAAAACACATTTGGTCAGAACTAATATTTTTCTAAGTCATTTGCTGAAGGAGTCGGGGTGCTAGTTAAAGACATTTGTCATTTCAGGGTTTATTAAAAGTCAAACCAACGGGAGGTCATTACGAGGTGTAGACAAGACAGTGAGGGATACTGTTAGATAATCTTAACGTGCATGAACGCTTCGCCTTCATATTGTTCCATGTTCTTGTGACGATGGGTGTGTCTGTTCGCTCACTTAAAAAAAAAAAAAAAAAAAGTGAAGATTGCTAGTTCGGCGAAACACAAGACATTAGTAATTACTTCAAAAACGCCAAATATGTTAATGTTAGGAAAACAGACACGAAGCTATCGTATAACACGACCAACATGTCTCGGTTTGAACTTGGCACTACCGAATAAAAACGCTGCCTTGGGCCTGTAGCGTTGTAAATCTCCAGTTGAACACGCGCTACGTTATTTCTCAATCCAATTGACATAATGTCAGTAGGACCCCGGTAACCGTCGTTAACGAGCTAGCTAGCTGGCTAACCGTAAATAAACCGACGCGATTCCAGCCGTTTAAATTAAGCCACGGACCGAGACGACCGTCTCGTAGCCTTACATGGAGGAGCTACAGACACGGGTGATCGGTAACTGTGCTGAGACGTTGGCAGGCTGACGACAGCGTCGAGAACAGCAACTGACGTAAAACGACTCCATAAATAGTTGCCACTTATCCGAATATAATTTATGACGTAAGCTGATGTGTGGTTCGTGATTGTCGCTCGGCTGTTTGAGTAGTTATTTGAAGTTAGCACTTACTTTAGTCCGCTTGCAGTCTTCCTGGAGGAAGTAGTTCTTTTACCAGCAGCAGTTCTTTTGACTGTACTGAAGCAGAATGGGTGGGACTCATACTTTCCATTTATGGAACCCACCCATCTGCCTTTCACCACGTGACAACAACAAATATGTGTTCACCACTAATCATCTATAGATGAATGTTAATGACATGATGGAAAATGTGTCACACCGGCGTCACCTATTGAATAACAATAGGTATATTATCCCTCAGGTGTGTTGCTACCTACATATATAACTACGTTAAACCACTTGTCAATTTTGTGTTTACTGACACAGATACATTTACCAATCCTCAACAATCTGATGATATTATAAAGTATTGGAATTATATATACTAATGAGTATATTTTATTACTACATATTACAAGCCTATATCATTTTATAGTTATCAAAGTTACATTAATATAACTACAATGAGGTTTGTAAATCAAACTAATAATAATGGTTGTGAACTTTATTTTATTTATTATTTATTTCGCATTTTTCTTTACAAGTTTAGAAAGTGCTATAAAGAAGAAAATAGCAGATAAAAACAAAGCACAGGGATCATAACACACCATGGAATGAATAAAGTTAAAAAGACTAAGACTAAATGTAATAATAATAACAATAATATACATCTGTGTGTGTGATTTACTCGAGTAAAGCTGTGTGAGTGTACTGTATGACGTATGGTTATTGTTTATGTATGTGGTTGTTATGTGATGACAATCACCAACAAAGTAGGGATATTTTTAGCTACATCACGTCACTGATCCTACTTTTAAAAGACGAAAGCTAAACAGGATTATTGTGCTTGGAATGACACTAACTGTACTGTTCGTGTGTGAGTGTGTGTGTGTGTGTGTGTGTGTGAAGGACATTTGCCACAAGAGGGAGCCCTTTTTAAAGTTTTCTTCCATACCAACAGGCCTGCCTGCCACCCTCAGGTTGGTCAACAGAGAGGCCTGAGAGAGGTGCTGATTTGACTGATTGATTAACTAATCTAGTGAATCAGTCTTTTCTGATTGCTGCTTATTCACCAATGATCCAGCGTTTCTTTTATTACATGAAGCAATATTTTTTAGATCAACATTAGCAACATAATTTGGAATTGAATTAGCTATGACTTGACTTAATGTTAGGCCTTTACCAAATTAACTCACGTTAGCAAGGACACTCTAAATATAAGTCAGTTAGGTGTAACTACTCCCCTCTGGCCCTGAATACACAAAACACCTTTCACCACCCCTCTTTCTCACACAACACCTATAGACAAACACATGGTATTAATGATACATGTTAAAAGTAATGCATGTCATCATATGGCTCAGAGAGAGTCTGTTAAACTGTCTAATGTTATTAACTGATGTGGCAGAGCATTTATAAACCTCTGAGCTGTTGGGATGAGGCGCTACAATACAATAAGAACCATTTGTCTCATCCAGCGGGCCATCGATGAATATTCATAGCAAGCAGACGCTGATTGGCCCGCGTCCTCGGTGACGCAGAGCCGTCCTCATTACATATCCAAAGAGTCTCTCTCTGCCCCGCTGCAATAAAGGCAGATAGCGGACCATGGGGAGCAGGGGAAAAACTTTCTATACTGACATGGTAGCGCAATGACTTTTGAGTAACATCTGACTGGGACGAGGCTCCCGGCGTGAGGAGGACAGGGCCCCTTTCGGCAAGAAATAAGGAGCACTTGCCATCTGCCGGGGAACGAAAAGCAAGAAAAGGCAAAAGAGTTGAGACCAGTCCAAGAAACAGCGGTGGAAAACCCAGTTTAGACCTTTGAATTGAAAGATGAGCTTGTTGTCTGCCATAGACACGAGTGCCTCCGTGTACCAGCCTGCGCAACTTCTCAACTGGGTCTATCTCTCCTTGCAAGACCCCCACCAGACCAGCGCCTTTGACGCATTCAGACCCGAACCCAACTCTTCCCATCCGGATCTCGGTTTCAGCAAGACTCCCGCAGCGGCGGACTTGAGCTCTTCCCTGAACTCCAACTATCTCAACAACTTCTTTCAGCTGCAGCGGAATGAGGTGAAAGATGGCATTCAGCACATATGTATATTTATATTTATATTTATATATCAGAGAGTGTTTCATGACTGTCAGATTGGTGGTTGAATTCATAGTAAGAATCCGAGTTGGGTTTTGCGGCACAGATTGTTGCACGTCTGTGCCGCAAATGTTTCAGCATGTACAGCATGGGCTATTCTGGTGGGATATGCATAACCGCCATGATATTTCTAATATGGACAATGAATTAGTCGTATTAAATCAACATGTCAGGGTATTATCCATTTGACTATTGTTGAAAAACACTATATAGGTCAAGTATTGTCTAATTTATACAACATAAGAAGTAGATAGCCGGCTGTAAATATCACTGCAAATAAAGGATTAGTGCATGGATATACTTTATAGTGACACTGTCTTATTATCAAGGCATTGTCACTATAAACTCACTTATATCATTTATAAGCTGCCACTACAAGTACCTTAGTAATACTCTAACTGCAGGAATATATTTGGGGGGGGGGGGGATATAAATTTAGGCTGATTAAAGCTTAAATAAGCAAGTAAGATCTCACTAGATAGTTCGATAGCTAAATATCACAACATTACATTCCCGTTCCAGGCTAATGTCATTTAATAATCTGGGGTAAATCAGTGTGTTTTCAGGATGCTGATGAGTTATGGTTCAAATTAAAGGTGTTTGAATCAGACATGTCGGTGATCAGAGAGGTAAAGAAGTGCAGATGGAAATATATCCCCCTGCACGCCTCTGTCTGGAAAGAGCAGGCCACTGCAGCCTCCTGCTGAGGTCTGCTGCCTTCTGACTTCTTCAAATAGACCAGGTTGTGCAAAGAAAATCAATCCGTGTTTGAATATTGTCTATTTTTGTAGCCGAGTGTAATTTTAGGGACAAACATGCTGATAATGTGCGCAGGGGGGCAAACCTGATACTGCAGACCATACTGTGCAAAAAGGAGCCCCACCACCACACTCGCACATATAGGCTACATACAGCGCACACACAGAACACTAATCACATACTGCGGTCAAAGTGGTAGTGTAAAGACGATACAGCATGCCTCCCAGTGTGTTGATTACACTGTAGTTGAGTTTCTCAGATCTATGTTATTGTGACGCTCTGTGTTGGAAACTCTTGGAAACTGAAGTAGTGGATGGATGGTGTATCCACCATCTAGAGCCAGTGTCCATTATTATGGTGGTAACCATAGAGGCCCTTTGAAGTCATTTAACATGAAACAGTCCTCTGGAAATTGGGTGTGCACATTATACATTACACGCAATTGTGTAATGGCATTCAATCCGCATGAGTATAAGTGTTTCAAACTGAGGGAACACATACAGTCTGGAAACAGTTTAAGGGGTCGGGGGGTTGGGGGCATTTTGCAATTTATGATACTGGCTAAGCCAAGTAAAATAAACCACTGCAGAGATTTGATGATGAGATGAGTAATGCGAAAATGGAGTTGTTTTTGCAGCGAAGGATCACACAACAGTCCACTTAAAGTGAAATAGTGATTATGAATGAATTGGTTGTTGATTGGATACTTTTCCGGTTTCCAAGTATTCTTACCACAGTCTCATCCGCTGACCGCTTTATGTGACTTTTGAAACCATTCTAGGTTAATCGAACCCCAAAGTAATTTATTCTACCTTAAATCACTCACCAGTTTCCACCAGTCACCACAGTCCTGGTTTAAACATGTAGGCGTGTGATTGACCCCTGCAGGGTGACACCTCATCCCTGGCCCTGTGGAAATAGACAAAGATCTGCTACAGTTGTCCAGCTCCCTGACTGGTAATGATACCAGTTTAGTTCTCATTGTGTTGGCCAACGCATACATACACATCCATCGCCACACACACGACCTCCTGCTGAGTCTCTCACTCACTCACTCACTCACTCACTCACTCATCACTCACTCATCACTCACTCATCACTCACTCACACAGACACAGGAAATAAACAAACTCTCCCCCCACCATTAGCAGATGTGTGTGAAATCAGTTTCCTTTGGGCTGACAGGAGGACGTTTCAGGCCAAACCGAAGACATGGGAGAGGAGCATAAACTGAGAAAAGTTTCCTGTTTTATATTTGATCAAATAATTTTACAAGCTGCATTAAGTTTTAAGTTTAACAAACACACAAACACGCTTGCTTCCAGAAGGAGAGGTAATATATAACAGTAATACACAGAGCTAAAACTCGTGGCAGATGGAAAACTTGAGAAAGTTCGGAGCCGTAATACTTGATTTACGACGACTACAAGTAATAAATGAACATGAGTTTTAAAGCTGGAGCTGGTTAGCAAGACAATCTCACAGCCCGCAGATAGAGATTTGGCTTTCAGCCCTGGCCAGGTTGCCAAGTTGAAGGTTTATGTGCTGTGCAACATTGAATGTTGATAGCAACATTTTTGCCAGACATAAACCTGTGCCCCCAAAAAGAGACACGAGAGTAAGTGGAGGAGGAAGAGTTTATATGTGGCTTTCATATGCACTCACTGATGTTTTCACATGTGGGTGGTGTCTCAGTTATTTGTCATCAGTGTAGTAAAACTATTAAATGTCAAGGCAGATGACAAGTTAGGCTGTTTGTTTAGTGACTTGTCAACAGGGGCTAATTACCGGACCATCTGAAAATAAAGACAGCCTGTGCTAAAATCAACATTATTTCACCCAGAGGTCAAACCCTGTCTGTCGCTTCTGGATTGTATTTAAACAGAGGAAGACACAAATGAGAAGGGAAATAAGGGCCTGCAGCTCATGCTTCCCCTGTTTTTAATATTCAGAGGGCATCCTCTATGAATTCACTGGGCCCTGTGGCATACAACGCTGCGCTCTGTGGCTGCGAGCAGACTACAAACACTGACCATTTACCGCCAACAGTGCATGGTGACATTGCTGATGTTCCACAGGCTGGCGAGGGAACATGCCTCCCATCTTGTTTACAATGAGTCATCCCTCTGTAAAGTCCTGTCTTTCTCTGTGGACATGCTCAGTACTTTTCCAGCTCATGAGCACAGCTGGGCCTCTCGCCAGATGTTCTGAATTTAATGAGAGAAATGATCATGGAGGGATTTTTTTCTTCTTCGTTTTTTTTTTTTTTGGTGCAACAGAAAATAGGACAGAGAGCGCTCAAAGAAAACTGGTGATTAATCTCAGCATTATTAACACTCCAAAACCAGAAATGCAATATTTTTTGTTCATACTATTTTGTGTGTAGTAATGCTCTCCTCCTGCAAACTGTAAGTCAACAACTCATGCTTTATGGAACGGAGAGTTGGGAATTCTATGTGAATTGAGTGTGAACGTCTTCAAGAATGTTCTATATCTTATTTGAAATATATGATACAGGACAAGTCATAGACAGAAGAATTAAATCTGAACCTTTTCTGGTGTTCTTCTTGCTTTTCAGGCCTTAAACAACAATGTGTATAAGAATGTGTCACCCTATGGCTCCCTGAACAACATCGTGGATGGGCTCAACTCCCTGACGGACCATTTCTCAGACCTTTCCCTTTCTTCAGAGCCAAGAAAACCAAACAAAAGACCCCCTCCCAACTACTTATGCCACCTGTGCTTCAACAAGGGCCATTACATCAAAGACTGCCCTCAGGTGAGACTCGTAACACGCATATTTCCCTTAATCTAAGTTTTGAGATGACACAAATAGCTTACATTGCCATAACTGTGTGACTTTAGACTTCCTCAGTGTCTTTTCATCTACATGCCAATGATGGCACTAAAAGCGGTGCTTGCTCCAGCCAATGCCTCTCTCTCTCTCTCTCTCTCTCTCTCTCTCTCTCTCTCTCTCTCCGTCTTTGGCTCTGGTCTGACCTACTTGTTAAACAGGATGGCCTCTGTCTTCTGTAGTCATGTGTGCGTACGTGTGAGTATACGTGTGCTAGTGTGCATCTTAACTGCCACAGCATTACACAACAAGAAATCATCCGTTATAACCACAATGAATTAACTTGTAGGACTAGTTCGAGGGTCAAAGGTGAAACTGTCTGTCATTTCACTGGATCATCGTGTTAGCGTGTTTTCCTGGAATCAAACAAAAACATTAACAAATACAGAAAATGTCTTTCTGACATGGAACTAAAGATAAAGTAATCCACAAAAATTACATTTGCATTAGTCTGTTATGATGCAGTTTTTTTTGTTGTTGTGAAGCACATGTTGATCCACCTTGAGGTCTAACATTGAGGTTAGGAGCACACTAATCTCAGCTGTTGTTCCCTAAACTCATCTTGGAGAGCACCTGGAGAATTTTGGGTTTTGAATGATCCTTGCCAATTTACTTTAAATCAGGTCTGGGTAGAAACGTCTGTTTTAAGAATAAGGCCCTGGTTGGGAGCCTGAGTGGCTGCTACAGGTTGATGCAGGTGTGTGCAGTCACTCAACATCTAAATGAGAGAATTAAGAACTTGTGCTTATGAGTTTTGTGTTCATGCAAGTGAACTTTCGCCTAAATAGAATGATGTAGAGTTTGCTGGAGTTGCTGAAGAAGGATTGGACTATGAAATGTCTGCAGTGGATCTGTTATTGTGGTGTTATATAGCGCCTTGTAAAAGGAAAACACCATTGCTGGGACCATGGCCTGGAAGTGATCTGATTTCATAGGAAAAACACAATGTCACTTGACCTCAGAATTGTGGGATCTTTACACAGTGTTCTTATTTTGCTGGACTCACGGTGCTTTATAATCTCCCCTCTCTCTCTCTCTGTCTCTCCTTTTTTTTTGTCTTACTCCTATTTCTTCTCTCCCTTTTCTTGGGTGAGGTGCAATAGTCTAAGCCCAGCCCTGAGTTTCTTTTGCATGGAGTAGTAATGAGGAGCAGATGTGAGATTAAATTGCTTTGACTTGCTTCATGACATATGATGACTGGTCTCGGGAGGTCTGTAAATGACCTGTGTGCTGTTGAAATATCTCCTGGACAGCTTCAAGCCTCAATGTGAAGGAATTAGATCATCTATTGACAACTCCAACGGGAATTTTGGGTCATAGTATATCATATCATAGCATATCATAAGATAACTTTGATTTTCCTTCATGTAATGTTGTAGTTGTTGACGTGAGCATTGATCAAATGATACTGATACTCAATGTGGGAGCAGGTGTGCAATACGTCATCTCCAAAAGGCCTCTGCACCTACACAGTTCAACAACACCTCAGTTATTTAGGTCTCTCCTGGGCTTTTTTTCCCCTCCATAAATTGACCTTCCATTTGTGTTACATCACTTACACTATTGCCCAGTCACCTGTCACTACGTGCCTCTTCTTTCTTCACCAGCTGAGGACCCAAATAACAGATGTGGCACATGCCTTGCAATCGGAAACATTGTTTTTAATGGCGAGAGTGTTTCAAATGACCTATTAGCCGAGACTTGAGTCATTTTCCGAACAATATTTTCGTGTCCTACATTACCATAACTCTGTTTCACAAGGTGCAGTGAGCACTCGTGTGCTCTCGGAGTTTCTGGTATCTGCCTGCACTGGAATGCGTGTGAGGATGAATGCGTCCCTACTAATAGTGTGTACTGTTCAGAGGTGCTTTGCCAATGAAAACAGAGGCTCCTGCTTCACAGAGCGCTGCAAAGTATGTCATCCAGGTCCAGCATGGAGAATCACATTCTGATGATTTGTACAGTCTTTACTTCATCACAACATGTTTTATTGTGCTAGGAAAAGGAAAATTGATTCATATCACATTTAATTACATGTACAGGTATTTTAAATCATAAGATAAGGCCGGTGATTTTCTGTATTTGCTTTCTGTCAGCAAATCCCATGAAAAAACCAATGAATTGATACTTCCAAGCACTGTCTTTGTGTTCCTCTGTACCGCAGACATCCGGTATACATTTGGATTTAGATTTCCTTATCAAAAGATTGTATCTGTATATATGCTTTAAAACCACCTTACCTCTGCCAAAGTTGACTTCTTTTTTGCAGCTGAATTAGAGACAAGAATTTAGTCAGTGGTGGATCCATTACTTTAGTCACTGTGGTCAATGGTTTCCCTCTCCCTTCCACTGCTTGGCTCTGAGAGAATAAGAGACAGGCAATTAAATAGTTGAGGTTATCAAAGCGTTTATCCATTACTTGCAATTTAAGAGCTTTTTTAGTTATTACATGTTAATATTGGAATCACACAGAGGAAGCCTGTGGCTGTGCTGAGAGAATACATTTTTTCAGGGAACTCTTGGTAGTTGAGTGAAAGCCACAGGCCTGGCAGCAGCTGCTCAATGCTCCCTGTCATGGGGAGAGAGGTGTTATGTAAACCGGCTTTTATTCGGAAAATGAGGTCGCTCCCCCAGTTATGAGCAGAATGCCCCTCACTGCCACCCTTTGGCCCCCTTCCAACATGTCTTCCACTTGCACTGATGATTTGGTTCTGTTCACTGGACTAATCCTCTCAACAGTTGGCCCCACCTCTGATTTGAGTGATCAAAATAATTGAATGACATCGTCTTGCTACGTCTCCCTGTAGAAAGATTAACTCGTGGAAAATGTCTTCGCCGGAATGCAGGTTTGTGGGTATGTGGGGGTGGCTGTTGCTGCTGCTGCTGCTGCCGCTGTTGTGTGTGTGCTGGTGTGTATGTTTTATGTGCGTCTCTGAGAGTTACTATGCTCCATTCCAGGTCGCAATGCATTACCCTGGTTCAGTCCTTCAGAATTATAGTTTCCTGGACATGTTTTTTTACTCTTCTGAGAAATTTCAGATATTTTGAAACTGGTAGAATACTTTTTCATGTAAAAGCTTAAAAGCCAAAAATAACTGACATGACATTAATCACTACTTCTGCATTCACCCTTTTGCCTATTTCTGTGAGAGGTATTTCTCTTTTTCCGTTTCTAAAAGTGCAACAATCAAAGTTTACGTTAAGTGAGGTATGATATCCCGCCCACTTCAAGCCAGTGAGAAAAGCACAAACAAAATATATAAATGAATAAAGCTGTTTCCAACAGTTTCAAGCTGTTTCAAACAAACGTTCATGTAGGAGCTTGTTGTAAGTAGAGTAAGAAGCTGAGTGAGAAAATATGTTTCTGGGCCTTTTAATTTGACATTTTAGGAAACATGCTTATTTGCTTTCTTGCCAAAAGTTAGATGAGAAGATCTATTCTTTTATTTGACTTTTTTCTTAGGATCAAACAAAGGAGACATGTTAATTAGTGAGCTTCATAGGACAGAGCCATGCCAGCCGTTTGCCCTTGTTTACAGTCTTTGTGCTCAGCTAAGCTAACCAGCTGCTGCCTGTGAACTCATACTAAATGAACTGACATGTCCGATGTATCAATCTCATATAACGCTCAGCAAGAAAGCTACTAAGCATTTTCCCCAAAATGTTGAACTTTTGCTTTACAGGCCAAGTGACACCAGAGGCAAATCGCACTCTGAGTAATGTGTGACTTGACAAAATGTGCACTTTTTCTTTGGTTGTGGTGATAAGCGTAATGACTCGTCATTACTGCAGCTCACTTTGTCTACACCAGCGGTTGTTTGGTTTTAAATCTTCCACTTGGCCTTCGACGGGGCACTGATCCATTTCCGAATTGCTTCGCAGTCATGCTGGGATAATTGTGCAACCACTTTGTTTTTTATGTTTCAGTTTGTTGTTGTACTAGGGGGATGTGGGTAGAGTAGCGCGGTAGTGTGTCAAATACACATTGCGAGTTTATACTTTCACAGAGCTATCTGTGTGCTTCACTCTTGGAAAACAAGTATCTTCGAGGAGCAAATGGGCCACTTCCCTACTTCCTAACCTCTTTTCTGGCGCTCTTGCTCGGTCCACCCACCTTCCAACACGGCCTTCATTTTGACCGCAACTACACATCTATAAATCATGACTTTATCTTGCACGATCGTGACGCGATCACCTCGTCAAAATCTGTCCACAGACATATAAACACCTGGCAAAGTACACAAAAGCATCTCTGTTGTAGTTCCTGCAACAGTAGGTGTCTCCAGGAGCACAGTTTGCCGTGATGACACACACAGACTCGCAAGGTGAAAACAATACTAGTCACACGCTGGCACGGCTGGCAATTAAAGTGCTAATTGAATCAGGTTGAGGTCTGAAGATGAGTCTCTCTAACTTTTCTCAATCAAATTAATTCTGAGCAAGACTTTAATGGGTGTAGAATAGAATAAACAGGTTTAAGTGTTTGAGGCACAAATAAATACTTCAGAGAAAATGTAATTGAATACAAAAAAAATCCTAGAAAAGAAAATGCTTGAGGATAACAACATCTATTTTTTTTCCTGTCCAAGTTTTTTGTGTACGAGTAATTTCTTATTTGTAAAAAAGTCCCATTCACAAGTACAACTGCTCCCATGGTGTTATACTGTTGGCCTTTCAGCTGGAACAATTAGTCAGTTTAAGTAGTTTGTGGGTAACTTCGTTGTCTTACTCACTTCACCCAGGTCCCTTTTTTCCCAGCTGGCTCTGGTATTTAAGCCAAAACGAGTCTTTCTCCCTTTGCAGACAATTTGGTTCCTAACCTGTAGCTTCCTGTAAAATTCAAATTTTTCAATCAACAAAAAAAACAGCATAATCTAAAGTCCAGTTTAATATTCCTATGTGCAGTTTCTATTCTAAATTCAGAA